AAGTTTCATTTCGAATTAAGCACAGAAACTAGATTAATAAAAGATACAAAAATAACCAAAAAGATCATGTTTTATTTTTATTTTTAAAACAAATCTAGATTTCAAAATGATGAGCTACCAAATTTAATTGAAATTTGTGTAGCCGATTTATAATTTTTGTAAAGCATTTTCTTCCATCTGTCGATGGTCGGACAGTATATTTCCATTAAATCAGATATCTCTATACATAATTCATCAACATTATATGTCTTCGCATTAGAAACAAAGATAAATAAACTGGTAGAAATAAATGAAGTATAAGTTTATTTATTTTTTTTCTCTACAGGTGTATCTATGTATATGAAGGAATAATTATGAATTTTTTATTCTGTTTTAATGTAACATCGCATTTTATTGAATCCCAATTAATGACACTATCAAAAACGTATAATTGGGATAAACATTGAAAAACAAAAATCAATTATAAATTTATGAAAAATAATTTGTTCGTTGAAAAAGATAGTTGCTAAAGATTCTAACACTGTACTATACATGTACACAGGATGATTTAAAAGAACGATTGGAAATTTTTAATAAGATATGTAATGTACAAGTACTGAACTAAAACATTAATATATAGATAACATAGATGTAAGGATTCTTATTTCTTTTTCAACCTGTAGACTTGAAAAACTTACAACTAAACTACATTAAGTATAATTAATAATAGTTTTATTCGTACATTTAAACTCAAATCAAAACTATTTTCAATTTGTATTAATACTCATTTGCACATAAATTCTTACATATACAGGCTGTTTCTTAAAGAACGGCAGTTAATTACAGATAACGCTATTTCTTATGAAAAATTAAGTCGAAAAATCCGAAATCATTTTTTTTTCTATAATGCACAATACAGTAATAATTATATTGAATAAAGTCAATTCTTTTTCAATCAGCTCCATCCTTTAACTGGGCGTACGCCCGGCGAGCGTATGTCAGGCTAAAAAACGGCACCGATTAGATTGACTTTACTTAATAATTACTGCTGTATTGAGCATCATAGAATAAAAATGGTTCAGAATTTCTCGACTCAGTTTTTGACAAAGAATAGCGCCATGTAATTAATGGTCGCTCTTTGAACAAACAACTCTGTATAAAACTTAAAACTGAACTGTATTGGTAGATAAGAAAACATGTTTACTCAATTAAATAAGAAAAATATATAATGTTCTATGATTTTATACTTAAGACTGCAATCATATACAAATCAATCCCCAGGTAGCAAGATGACGTCTAAAGACGTCTTAATGACGTTAGAGACGTCATTAAGACGAAATTAATACGTCTTTTCATGTCACTCTATATTATCTGAATTGTTAGCCAATGTAAATATCTCATCTGTCGTAAGTGGTGACAAAAATTTATGTGTGCTGACTTCAAATTTATTTTTCTTAATCAATTCCATTATCTTATTTGAATCTTCTCGCGATAGACTTTTAAATGTTTCAGTGTCCATAATTTCTTTTATGTGAAATTTAATAAAAGTCGCCGAATGTGTTTCCAAAAATTTTGCATTCACCGACAATGCAAACAGTAGAAGTTCCACAGCATTTTCAATCATAATATTGCGTAGCAAATAATTTTCGCACATTAATTTTAAAGTTGGTACATCATACGTATGAGCTGCTATTAATATATCTTTAAACATATTATAATCACATTGTTCTATTGAGCCAGTTAAAATGTATATTAAAATCTGCTTAAAAGTTTGTATCTCATTATCTGTTACTAATTCATTTGTCATATTTTTTTCTTTTTCCTTATGTGTAAGGCAGATATTCTTAAAGTAACTACTATTGGTGGCGCACAACGATTTTTTTAATAGAACATATTGTTCTTTTCCTACTATAAATTTAATTGAGTCCTCATCTCTGGACCGAAACTCATCAAAAGTCGAATCTTCAGAACATATCACGTCTTTTGAAACTTCTGTCGAAGGCAGTAAATTCATACGTATAGTTTTATTTATCAGATTATGAAAAATTTCAAACTTGCAATGTACTATAAGCGCATCTGTTGGATTAAACGAAAACCTCTCTGAGAACTCAATTAACAATGTCATATTGGATATATGACCTGAAATAAAGTTTGATGACAAATATTGTCTGAATTGTCTCGGCGCATTTGTCTCGTACGTTATCGTAGTGGTACATGAACCACCAAATGAATTATTAGTAAGTATATAACATTTTATTGCATTTATCCGCGAACTATTTTGACGTGAAATACTCATTAGAATCTCGCATTGACCTATTTCTGGAAACGACGGAAACGTTATCATATTTTTGATCTTAGAAAAATGTATAAATTGATCAATTTTCCATGTATGTTCAAGTGTAGTCGATTCAATATGTGTTTGACAATAGCTCTTGGTATACGAAGGTAAAAATGGTGGAGATACTGTCTGATCCTTTTTCGGTGCGTTCTCGGTAGAGATATTCTCAACTTCTTTTTTAGTAACCTGAAAAAAATTAATTTACTTATGAATAATGACAAAGA